CCAATCCTGGGGTTAAAGGCCACGGGCAGCTTTTGGAGTGCTGGGGATCTGAACTCAGGCCCTCACACTTACACAGCACTCGGCTTACGATTCTTTCCTATGCTTGTTCGTTCTTGAGACGGGTTCACTGGGCTGGAACTTGCTATGCGGGTTGGGCTGGCCTATAGCTCCCAGAGGTCCTCCGGCTCCTGCCGCTGAGTGCTGAGGTCAAAGGCATGCGCCATCATGGCCAGCCACTAAAATTCGTTTAAATCCATCCTTTCCCCTCATGCGAAGTACTACCGTGTGTCGGGCTGCGCTGCCTGTCCTGAGTTGCGGCTTTGCTGGCTGTCTTAACGTGTCCCTTCCTGCCCTAGCCACCTTCTGTGCACCAGTCAGCTTTTAAGGCTTCCTTATATTCAATGCGGATATTTTTGGTAAGACTAACTCATATGCGGTGGTGGCATTTTCTGTAAGTGGAACATAATGTCTGTCTTTTTGTGATGTATCAGCCACCGATGCTCAATCCCTTCATCCGCTCATTCACTGGGGGCTCTTTTTTTTTTTAATCCAGCTAATGAAGTTTATGCTTCTAACCCATCTTCTGTAAGTTTTGGCACGAGGCATGCTCACACTGCTGTGATATTCCTAACAGCCATTCACCTCTAGAACGCTGTCCTCTCCCGGAACAGAAGCCACACAGCTGTGAGCCAACAGCCCTCACACTCTCCTCCAGCACACCACTCAGTCTCTAGGGGTTTAATAACCTCCACCGCTCTCCCGCGTAAGTGGGCTGCACACATTCAAAGGCGTTTGTCACTATGCCAGCTGCAAAAGAAAATCACCTGTGCTTCCATGGCTACTGGTTTATTTCCTTTAGCATAGATGGTTCCGTGTCATTGAGTGTGTTAGAATTCCCTTCAATTCTGTGACAATTAATTTAGTGAACTTGGCAGAATTCAGCGTCGCCTGGGGAACAAACCTGTGGACTATCTGAGGCTTTCCAGGGAGGTCCCTGGCATGCGAGAGCACCCCTGGCACGGGTGGCATCATTCTGTAGGCTCAAGTTCTGGGCTGACAAAAAGGAGAGAGCACGGGGAGTCACAGAACCCTTGCTCTGACTGCAATACAAACTCCAGGCACCTCATGATGCCCCAGTACAACAGACTGTGTCTCCTCAAACTGTAACCAAACAGACCTGTAGGAGGCTTCTTGCCAGGTATCTGGTCACAGCAAAAGGACCACACCATTTCAGACTGGGTATGAGCCAGGAGTGCCACACACTGGAGGTGGAGGGTCAGGAGTCCAAGGCCATCACTGGCTTGCCAGACAGTGAGGTGGAGACCAGCCAGGACTCCAGGGGCTGTCTCAGACAAACAAACAAGCAAACAAACAGACACAGGTTGGATAGTTTCCCCAGTGTATACAGGTCACAGTCACGTGCCACGTAAACGCTTCAGCCAACACAGGCTCTCACCCCACAAGCCATTACGGTTTGCAAAGCACTCTGCAATGCTCTTACAACAGCAAGCTCACCAAAGAACACATTTCCTTTGGCGTGTCCTCACCGAAGTGATGCAGCCTGGCATAGGGAAGAAGGCACATTGCAGCGCGACCGTGACCAACACTCCTGGAAACTCCGGGGGAAAGCAGCGCCTGTCGTACGGCAGGTGGAGAGCCCAGGACGGCTCAGTGGGCAAAGGTGCTGGCAACCTGAGGCTGGCTCTAGAACTACACAGCAGGAGAGAGCTGACTCTGCATGCTGTCCTGAGCTCCTCGTGAAACGGGCTGAGTACCCCGACTTTCCTACCACATTGGGGCGGGGGACTTGGAGGTGCTGAAGCGTCATTCTGACTCAAGCTCAGAGCAGAGGCTGCAACTTTTCTGGACGTGGCTCTTGTAACCACAAGGTGTGTGATACCACGATGTTCAGCTACACCCTGGCCCAGATATCACCCTAACTGCTCTTGAGGGTGTGGCTAACACCTACAGTCAGCTGGTTGTACATACAGATCACCCCAAGAAGGGGGTAATCTTCCTCTACTTAGACAAAGACCTTAAGAGCAAAGTGATTTCCTGGAGAAGGGAGATTCTGCTTCAAGTTGACATAAGCATCCTGCCTGCCCGGCCTGCACACTGCAGGAGTGCCCTTGTCACAGCTTCTAGGCAATTCCTCGAGGCTCTGAGGACAGGAAGACATATACCCACTGGCTCTCTTCCTCCACAGTAACTTAACTAATGTAACTGGTATTATCAGATACCAGTGGCTCTAGACTTTACTTTCACTACAGATATGGTAATGTTTCTTGGTGGTTTTAACCTAAAATATAAGGCAAAAGAGTGCTTATATGGAAAATTACACTGCAAAGCTGTTTGACTCACAGGTGTCTCTTACATGCCTGTGCTATCAAATTAAAGCATACAGATGTGTGGTCACAGCATACAGATGTGTGGTCAAGGTGTTCTAGCTGGAGTGTAGGTATGAACCTCAGTTTGACTGAGATTTACTTATTTTGTGGACCGTAGGTCAAACTCGACCTTTGTACTTGCTAGGCCAGCATCCACCACTAAATTACGTGCCCAGTCCTCTCCTGGGTTTATTTTCAGTCCCGTGCCTCAAAAGCAAGAATCAGCTGGGTCTGATGCTCAGTTGTGAGGGACGTAATTCCAAGTGTGAGATTTTGGAGTCAATTCCTTACACCAAACAACAAAACCACCCAGAATGAGCTTGTGTGGTCATGTGCCGTACGATCCCAACCCTAAGCACGTAGAGAGAAAAGGACAAGCAAGGAGGCCTCTGTACAGACCACGTTCAAGACCACTCTGGTGCAAAGCCTACATCTCTCGGTAACAGACCACGTTCAAGACCACTCTGGTGCAAAGCCTACATCTCTCGGTAACAGACCACGTTCAAGACCACTCTGGTGCAAAGCCTACATCTCTCGGTAACAGACCACGTTCAAGACCACTCTGGTGCAAAGCCTACATCTCTCGGTAACAGACCACGTTCAAGACCACTCTGGTGCAAAGCCTACATCTCTCGGTAACAGACCACGTTCAAGACCACTCTGGTGCAAAGCCTACATCTCTCGGTAACAGGTTGTCACCTTAAGGTCTGTGCCCAGGGACTCTTGTCCCATGAGCTCCGAGAGGCCTTGTTCTTCCAAAGGCTGGCCTCCTTAGTCCCGCCCTTCCACTCCAGGAGTCACTTCCCATTCTTCTACAAACTCACTCTAGTAAGGTCATCCGGAGCCAACTTCCTATGCTCACAACCCAAGGAATACAGCCACCTACCTAATGGATGCCAAGTGGGTGGGCAGGACCATAGTCGATCCCAGGCATTCACTGCCTTCTTTCCAACGCATACCCTCCTCACCATAAGACATCTGAGAGCTTGAAAATCCAAGCTAGAATTCACCTGCTTAGCCACAAAACCCTTTTTCCCCGTTTTTTAAATTGTGTGTTTGTGTATGCACACATGCAGTATGGTGCACACACGACTATGGTGCACACACATGCACTATGGTGCACACACATGACTATGGTGCACACACATGCACTATGGTGCACACACATGACTATGGTGCACACACATGCAGTATGGTGCACACACATGACTATGGTGCACACACATGACTATGGTGCACACACATGCAGTATGGTGCACACACATGACTATGGTGCACACACATGCACTATGGTGCACACACATGACTATGGTACACACACATGACTATGGTGCACACACATGACTATGGTGCACACACTTGACTATGGTGCACACACATGACTATGGTGCACACACATGACTATGGTGCACACACATGACTATGGTGCACACACTTGACTATGGTGCACACACATGACTATGGTACACACACATGCAGCATGGTGCACACACATGACTATGGTGCACACTTGACTATGGTGCACACACATGATTATGGTGCACACACATGACTATGGTGCACACACATGCAGTATGGTGCACACACATGACTATGGTGCACACACTTGACTATGGTGCACACACATGACTATGGTGCACACACATGACTATGGTGCACACACATGACTATGGTGCACACACTTGACTATGGTGCACACACTTGACTATGGTGCACACACATGACTATGGTGTATACTCATGACTATGGTACACACACATGACTATGGTGTATACTCATGACTATGGTACACACACATGACTATGGTGCACACACATGCACTATGGTGCACACACATGACTATGGTGCACACACATGACTATGGTGCACACACTTGACTATGGTGCACACACATGACTATGGTGCACACACATGCACTATGGTGCACACACATGCTATGGCACAGGTGTGAGGACTTGAAGACACTGATTTTCTCCTTCACCATGTGGGTTAAGGGAAGCAAACTCAGGTTATCAGGCTTCTCGGCAGGTACCCACTGAACCCTGTCAGCCGGACACCTGGCTTTCTCCCTGTGGATGCTGGGGTGAACTCAGGTCTTCATGTTTGGGCAGCGAGTGCCCTTATTCACTGAGACACATTCCCAGTGAGGGGAAACCAGGGGCGAGCACACTGCTCTAAGTATTTGTAGAATAAACCAGAGTACCACCAGACACTACGCATAATATAAAATGTCAAAAAATAATTTAACGTTATGTGATCCAAACCCTTTCAAACAGTGGCATAAGCCAGGCATGGCGGTAAGTACGTGTAGTCCTAGTATTCACAGGCTGGGGAAGGAGGATGGAGAGTCTGAGGCCGTCTGCACTAGACAGTAAGATGAGGGCTCAAACAAACCGAGACTGAGAACCAAGCAGTAGCAGCCTGGACGCTGAAACATCACATGACTCACCTGAGGTTGCTCAGCGGCGGGGCGGCCAGTCCAGCACTCTGAATGTATCTGTGGAAGCACCCCATGCTTCCGTCCATGTCACCGCTGCAAAGGAACACACGAGTCGCCGGAGGCCCCACTCTCACAGGTCTCGTGTAAATGACTCAGTCCAGTCTACTGCCAGCTTTGATTTCAGGGAAGAGTTTATTAAGTAATGAAATAAGTAACTTTAAATCTCCTCCCCTCCATCCTATCATCTACCCTCCACCTCTACAAAGGAGCTGCTTCTACCCCGTGTGGGCGGGATGGAAAAGGAGGCAGGATGGCCCCACTGTACAGTTATTCTGCAGAATCCGCCATGTGCCGTCTCGACCCTGAGTCCTCCTGATCAGGGCAGGTTGTTCCGAGAGCCATGGCGCTGCCCTGAGAGCGTTTTAGGTCAGCTGCCCTCTCCTGAGGTCACTGGTCACATCTGTCACTGGGATCATAAGCAAGTTGTCAGTGGTAGTCCACGGCACACAAGAGCAAAGGCTGTTGAGGGAATGTCCTCTTAGGGTTTGGGAATTACATATGAAATGCTCGATATGTTAAAGTGCTCAAGAACTTTTTTAAAAAGACCAGGTCTCACCGCAGCCCTGACTGGCCTGAAACTTGTTATCCTGGATAACTAAGCTACCCAGGTTGGTCTGGAGCTCACAGACATCCGCCTACCTCTGCCTCCCAAGTGTTGGGATTAAATGTGTGAGCAACCACACTTGTTGCATGCTCAAACATTTTTTTTTTTGATTTTTCGAGTAGGGTTTCTCTGTGGCTTTGGAGGCTGTCCTGGAACTCACTCTGTAGACCAGGCTGGCCTCGAACTCACAGAGATCCACCTGCCTCTGCCTCCTGAGTGCTGGGATTGAAGGCGTGCGCCACCACCACTGCCTGGCTCAAGTACATTTTTGAAAGGACATTTTGGAAGGTGTGTACTGGTGAGAAGGCAAAGTATAATCTAAAAAGCTTCTAGAAAGACACAGCAAAAACGATGTGCAGAAACAAGACACCGCTGTGAGTGTGGGAGAGTTCGGTCTGGCAATTGCTTGATCTCTGAATCACACGCGCTCCTGGTGGGAGACCAGCCAGCTCCTTTACCTCTTGGTGAGGGGGAAGCAAAAGTTCCTAGGTCATTTTGTTCCAACTCTTCTCTCAATGACCTCACCTGAAGCCAATGGTCTCCTCCCTGGCTACCAACACAAAGAGGACCAGTTAGGCTAAGCGCTCAAAAGTGTGAACTGAGAACCCTGAACTTCCCAGCACAGCAGGGTGAGTGAGGCCCACAGCCGAGAGGAGGGGCTCATAACATATGTGGTCTCTCGGGAGACTGCACGCTCCGGGACTGAGGTGGTCAAGGGTGAGAGTCCACAGCAGCGGCAGCTGTGTCTTATCCTAGAAGCCAGCACAGGGCGTCCCCAGTCACTTGTAAGTCCAGTGGGCAGTGGCCCAGCCCTGGCCCTTGCACAAGTCCCGGTGGCGAAGGTAAAAGGCGTGAACACGGAACCGACGGCCGCAGTGGGGGCACGCGTGCAGAGCTCTGGCGTGGGTCTTCATGTGCTCCGTCAGATGGTGCTTCAGCTTGAAGCGTTTGTTACAGACACCGCACCCGAAAGGGCGGAGGCTGAAGGTCAGCATGATGTGCCGGTCTCGCTTGGGCTTCACTGCAAACCGTTTCCCACACAGGCAGCCGAAGCATTTCCCGTCGGCAGGGGGCGTCCCTCCCAGCTTCACAGGCCCGTGCACAGCCTGCCCGGATCCTCCAGGGCCCCCACCCCCCGACAGGATCTCGTTCCCGTGAAGGTCCACGGGCTTCCAGGACGGATCTCCTGGCCCAGATGTCTCCCCTCCTCCCGAGGACAGCAAGTATCTCAGTTCCCCATTTCCCTCAGAGTCCCCTTCAGAAAGTGCTCTGGTCTTCTCCTTTGTTCCTCCAGACCCAGGCCTACTTCCCGAAGTCTCCTCCTTAGACTCAGGGGGTTCCTGACTGACATATAAGCCTTGGGACGCTCGCACAGGAGGGGCAGGGGGCTCCAGGGCTGAACTCTCGTCCTCGGGAGGCTGGCTGGGAAGCGCAGATGTAGGCTGGGGCTGGGTGACACAAGCTTGGGAAAAGCCCCCGGGCAGTCTCTGAGGCTGAGGCGTCTGCAAGACTGGGGCTGCCAACCCCTGCTCGTCCTCCTCCTCCTTCACCTGGATCTGTAACACCCCTTCGACTTCGCCCCCCTCCCCTCCAACGGGGGCCTCAGCAGGCGCAGAGCTCTCTGCGGGAGCAGAGGACGGCGCTGGGTTCTGGAAAGGCGAGGACCGGATGCACCAGCCCCCGGGCGACGTCGTGGAAAGAACTGTGTGGTAGGAGGCTCCCCCACCAGCCGAAATCCCACCGCCTGATGTCTCTAGTTCTCGAAGGATCTCTGAGCACTGATTTACCACCTGCCACATCTGCAGGCCACTGGCTACCAGGAGATGGGCAGGGAGAGCATCCAGGGGCAGGCGCAGGCGGCCCGAGTAAATGAGCTGAAGCAGTCCCTCGAAGGCATCGGCCTCGATGACACTCGGCAGAGTGAGTCGGGGCGCATCGCCCAAAAGCAGCTTGTCGTGGAAGTAAGGCGAGGCAGCCGCCAACACGGCTTTGTGGGCCCTAAGTTCCCTGCCCTGAACCAGCAGGGACACATCGCAGAACTTGCCCTCCAGCCTGTGGCGGTTCAGGGACTCCAGCAGCGAGGAGCTATGGTGAGGGAACTCAATGTGGATGGTCCGAGGGGCTGGGTTGCACCTCGGAGAAGGGGGTGTGGGAGGCAGAGTCGAAGCATCCATGGCCACCTCGGGAAGAGAGATCCCGGGGAGTCGGGGTCAGAAGGGACAGACTCTATGCGGAACGAAGGCTGCGGAGGAAAGAGACCGGGGTCACCCAGGTCCGGGAGAGGAGGCCCCCCCACCGACACCTGCCGAGCCCCCGGTGACGGTTCCTGCGCATTAGTTCCGCCCACCCAGAAAACCGACAAAACACCGACCAGGGTGTTTACTTGCAGGCCCTGCGGGAGCCGGGAGGGGAGGGGGGACTGCGCCCCACCTCGCCGGCTCGGGCCGCCCTCCGCTGCCGTCCGCCCCGCCTCACCGTGCTCACACGGGCCGGCTCCGCCAGCTCCCGCCACGCGCCTTCCCGCCGGCACGCCCCCGCCGCACGCGAGACCGCCTCGCAGCTCCTCGGCCTCCACGGCGCCTGGTCGGCCGGAAGCGACCGCCGCTCCGCCGGACGCCGCGGCTGCCAGGCGCGCGGGGCGGGGCCGGGCCTGCAGCCAATGGAAGGACGGCAGCCTACAAGCCCCCTTCTTATTGGCTGTGCGGGCAGAGGGGCGGGGCTGGGAGCCGGCGGGCTGCCCGAGCGCCGCCGAGCCTCGTCCGGGCAGCGGCGGAGATCCAGGACCGGGCCGCGGAGCCGCGGGTCGCCGTGAGGGGCTCGGCGGGCTCGGCAGCGCGGTGTGGATCTTCCTCCCGCCGCGCGAGGCAGGTGCTGCTGTCCTCAGCGTGCACGCGGGACCGGAAGTCATACCCTCGCTGAGGACCGCGACTCTGCTGCATCCCGCTGAGGGGCGTCCTCTCGATGGAACCTGTATCCGGAGAGGTTTGCGGAGACGGACGGTCCGCCCGGGCCCATTCGCAGCCTCGGCGCCTTCGGGGTTGGGTGCTGCGGCGGGTGGAGAGCGGGAGTGGGCGTTTGGCCGGGAAGACGCCGCGGCTTATATTATTCTCATTCATGGCGGCGTAAGTACTGCTTGCAGGCTGACAGCTTTCTCCCGAGTAGTTCCTGTCACTCCTTCAGGTGATTCCAGGGACTCCAGACTAAAAAAGTCAGCCCAGTGCCGGGCGTTGGTGGCGCACGCCTTTAATCCCAGCACTCGGGAGGCAGAGGCAGGAGGATCTCTGTGAGTTCGAGGCCAGCCTGGTCTACCGAGCAAGTTCCAGGACAGCCTCCAAAACAATACAGAGAAACCCTGTCTCGAAAAACCAAACCTAAATAAATAAAAGTCAGCCCAGCGATAAAAGAACAATCTCGGTTTATTAAACATGAGTTTTGTTTCACCACACACTCCAGAAAAAAAGGAAATGGGAGGGGGGGGGGGGCGACGGGGCTGGGAGTGGAGCGGTAAGGAGAACGAGTAAACAAACAAAAGTGAGTAAGAAGAGCGACTCCCTACTCTTAAGGTGGTGGGTGGGGAGAGAAGTGGGGGCGGGGTTAGGGAGCCAGGAAGCTCTGTACAGAGGGGTCGCCTCCCAGCCCCCACCCCGGTTATGTACAGTACAAACCCCAGATAATTACAACAGCCAAAGAGGAGGAAGGAGGTACGAGGGTAGGGCCTGAAGTGGGGTAAGCGGGGGAGAGGGCGCGGGATAAAATTTCACATATTTACAACATTTATAGAAGTATAAATTTGGCCCCGGCTGGGTGGATGTGTGGAGGGATGCGGTTGAAGGAGAGCTGTCCATACAAAAGGTCATCGAGTCTGGAGTCTGGGAGGAATTCTCAATACCAAACGCAAGAAGGGGTGAGGAGACGAGGCTGGGTAGGGGCAGCAGTCAGAGAAGAGGGGGTACCCAGGAGGGAATGCTCCCCTTCCATGGACTACCCACCCCAAACCCCATCCATCCTACCTCCCCTATCCCGCCAGAGAGCTATGTACAGAGAAACACCGAAAAATCGTGGAGCTGGCGGGAGGGAGGGAGGCTGGGTGAGGGGGGAGGGAAGCCCAGCCCTGCCCTACCTCCCCCAGGGGACAGAGTCATGGAAGGGGGCCTCCAAACACCTATCCTCCAACACAGGTCCCCCCACCCTGGGGGAGAGAGACATGGCTTTTCCTAGAGTAAGTTTCCCCCCTCCCCACGGGAGTAGAGACAGAGAAGGGGCAGGGGCTGGCTGTGCGGCAGGGTAGGGCAGACCAGCTGTCTGTCCTGTACAGCCCACTACACATGGCCTCCCAGACCCCAACCCCATCCAAACCTCAGTCCCACCCCACCCAACACACTGGGGGAGGGGGGGGCGTGAGCCCCCTCACCCCGCTCTGGGACCAGCCGAGAGCAGATCAGGTGTGGGAAGAAGGGGAGGCAACTCCCATTCCCCCCTTGCCGCCCCCTCCCTGCCCCGGTGGCCCCCTCCACCCCATCTGGGTTCTGGGTGGGGAGAGTAAATGCTGGAGTGGAAAGAGGAGAAGGAGTTTGTGCGTGCCGAGCGCCCCCAGACTCTGCTCCTGAGAAATCAAGGGGTAATAGGGCCCCCTCACCCGGGGTCCCCTCCCCGTAACAAGGGGGACAGGGGAGGCCAAAATGGGATGGTGGAGGGGAGTTAAGATTGTCAGCTCTGGTTACTGCTAAAAAATCACCCTGAAGTTGAAAGTTTGGAGGTGCCGCACCCCCAGTGTGGGGGTGAGAGTCTGTCCCCCAGTGCTCAGGGGAACTATGAGGCAGAGGGTGGGGATAGCACCCCGGAGTGAAGGGGCTGTGGGGTAGGTGGCGTCCGGGGGGGCGAAAGAGGGCAGCTAAGGGTCCCACTCTCCCCCCCCCCGGAAATGGTGCGGTGGAGGTGGCAGATGGGCGCCTCAAGGAGGCGGTAAGGGAGGCAATCCCGCTGTCCCTCGGTGGGTGACGTCCAGTCCTGGTGGTTGGTGATGTTCCGGGGTGGGGTGCACAAGGAAGGAGGTCTGTGATGCTGGGTGGGCTAGTGGTCTGCGGTGTTTCGGAACTCGCCGTTCTCTGTGATCTGCAGCCGGGGTGGGGGCGGGGGGGCTGGGGGGGCCAGGCCGTTCCAAGGTGGGGCCAGCGTCACACGCGGGTTTGTTGGACCCAAGGGGGGAAGCTGCCTCTCCTGCAAGACACCAAAGAGGAGAGCGCGGACTTATTGAGACGCTTCGCGGGGGCAAGGATGCCAGCCCCAAGCCGTGCTCGCCCCCGCAGCCAGCCCACCCCACCCCACCCCACCGCCACGCCTACCCCGCTCCTGTTTCTCCTGTGTTGTCCCTCACCTCCAGGGGTTCTGGGGGATCAGCGAGAGAACTCACACCAGAAAACCAGCTCAAAAGCAACTAGCTCTCACCTTCCCTCTGACAGAACTCCCACTTCCGGAACTGTGTACCTGCCCCCAGCCCCTCTCCATGGAGCCCCCTCCCAGCACCCTCCACCCCAGGCAAACTTGGCGCTGAGGAACCAGGGGGAGGCAGTACAGGAGAACCTCATTAATCCGAACCCCTACAGATCTGGAAGTTTTGTTCATAATTTGAACAGAACCAGGGCTTGAGTTTTCCATTATCTGTGAAGAAAGGGTGTGCTAAGAAACCCGTGGGAATGTGTCTGCACCCGCAAGCTAAGCTCCCTGAGGGCCTCTGGAAGCCTAGTTTAGAGTTCTACTTACTGTGTTTTGAAGACAGGCATTTCACTAACTAGACACTGTCATTCGGTTTTGTCAGTTACTCAGAGTGGACCTCTCAAATGTAGCATCCCACATTAGAGAGGTGCAACTGTACTGGAATCAGGAAGGGGATCCAGGAAGTGATGTGGAGGGACTTCTTGTAGGAAGGTTCCTGTCTTGCTGGGTGGGAGTGACTGAAAGGTTTGGACGGGTGGTTCTCAACCTTCCTAACACTGCGACCCTTTAACACAATTCCTCATGTTGTGATGGCCCACAACTGTAAAACTATTCCCATTGCTACTTCCTAACAATTTTGCTACCGTTGTGAATCATAAGTATCTGATATGTGGCCCCTTGCACAGGGGTCACTACCCACAGGTTGAGAACCACTGGTTTGCAGACACTGTGCCCATTCCTCCCCCGCCCCCACTTCCTTTTCAGCATCTCCCTCCCCAGGCTTCCGGCTTGAGCAGCAGACCCTGTGCCACTCCTGAACCTACTTTCTGAACCTTCTATGGCTCTGGAACCAACTTCCTAGTTCCCACCCTCAGCCCAACCTTCTGTGCCTCTGCAGGGAGAGAAGACCACCTGAGTCCCCACATTTCTCGACACTTACGTGGCTTACTTAGTAGCCCAAAACTACTTTTTATTTTTACTAGCTGGGCTGCAGTAGGACCAACGCCTACAAATGGTTTGGAACAAATATACAAACTACTGTCTGGCTGTCTGGGCCACAAGACTAGGTAGGGCAGCATGTAGCTACCTGTATCTGACCCTGTCTCCAAAGGACACAAAGGTTTCCAAGGTCAGCTTCCCCTCCATACCAGAACCAAAGACTCACCTGTTACAAGGCAACCCAAAATATAGCCTTAGTCAAAGCTGCCCTCTTGGCTCTCTGGGTATCTCCCAGCCAGTCGGGGGGACGGGAGGTTATACGTAGTAGGATCCCTAAGTACTTGCAGCGAGAGAACAGGGGAAGGAGCCCTCAGATCGCCTCCACTCTGCTTGTCTGCTCATGACGACATATGGACATGCCCCCTACGCCCTCATGGACCCAAATTTAGAAACTGGGTAAATTAGGGTGCCGTTATTCATTTTACAAAAGAATTCACTGCTGGAGTCCTTTAAATGGCGAAGTTCCCTGGTGTCTTTCTGCATTTGTTTACAGATCACTAACTACTCTGACAGAGAGGCAGGGCGGGCAGAGTTAAAATTACAGTGTGAGGAGCCACTGCCCACCACAGATCAGCCCCATAGACGTGAGTCTCGGGATTATATGTCCCAAAGGCTACTGGAGCCCATAGATGTGTGTCTCGGGATTAGGTGTCCCAAAGGCTACTGGAGCCCATAGATGTGTGTCTCGGGATTAGGTGTCCCAAAGGCTACTGGGTGGCAGGGGAGGGTAAATGCGTGGCATTAGCAACACAGGAGCTTGAGCTCTGTCTGATAAGAGAGGTTCTTTAACACGCTGTTCTAGTGTCCCTGCCTGGGACTAGAGATGGCTACTGAGCCCGTGAATACAGTCTGGGAAGGAGCTGTTTCTCCTCACTTCTAAGCCACAGGCCACATGGAAAGGTCCAGCCTGACATCTGTCCAAGACCCCCGCCTGTCATAGGCCGCCCACTGTTCACTTGTCAGCACATCTCAAGAGCATCTTTCCAGAGTCCCTTAGCATTACCCTGAATTAACTGCCCACTTCCAACGTCCACCCAGTAGTAACTAAGGAAGCCTCAGACCTCTCCTGCCTCACAAGTGCAGGGCAGAAAGGCCAAAGGGGGAGAGAGCAGGGGGTAAGAACTGGGAAAGGAAGAGGGGAACCCACCTACCTGCTGGAGTCAGCACAGTCCCC